GAACTTTTTTTCCAGAGAGATGATTTTTTTACAAAATTTATGAACTTCTTTTCAATATCTATGAACTTTTTTAGAAATTTCTTTTTTTATATAAATTTATGTTTTTTCCCAAATTCACGATTTTTTTTGAAAATCATCTTTTTTTCAAATTTGATGAACTGTTTTAATATAGGTGAACTTTTTCCAATTTTTGTGAATTTTTTTTCAAAATTTATGAACTTTTTCCAAATTTGTGAGTTCTTTTAAAATTCATGAACCTCTTTTTTCAAAACCCATGATTTTTTTTCAAATCCATGAAATCACAAACAATTTTTCAAATGCATGAACAATTTTCTTTTTCATGTACTTTTTTAGTAAAGTCAATGGTCAACGACCAGCTGGTGAACAGGGAGCGGTCAACTGCTCAACACTTTTTTTACCTAGCGTAGAACATGCCTTTTTTGAGTATCATAATATGAAGAGTGGCGTAGATCAGAAGGATCCAACCTGAAGAAACACAAACGTAGACGAAATACGACCAGCTCCAAGCAAATCCACCAAGGATAGATCCGTCGGAGACACACCTTTACATGCCCACTAACGATGCTAGACACACCACCGAAAAAGGGACTAGGCGGGGAGAATCTTATTGCATCTTCAGGGAGCCACTGCCGTCTCGTCTTTCTGAGCAGAACACAAACCCTAAAAAAGTTGAAAAAACATCTAAAAACGGAGCCCTCCCGACGGCAAGGGTCGGGATCCACCGCGGTGCCATGGCTCTAAGGCCCCAGAGACGAGGTGGACTGCGGACGGCGCCGGCGGGAGGCAAAGGAACCCTATGCTTTTCTTGGGGAGGAGGTGTTTCTAGGGTTTACTGAAAAAGTTTGAACATCTGGGGTCACGTTGGAGTCTGATTCGCCCTCAGTCATGCAGATCCTAAACTTTGAAAATTCTGACAGGCGAAACTAGGGCCCTGTATCGCGAGGCTAGAAGCAACCACATACTCGAGTTTGATAGGCATGAGTTTTTGTTCTGTCGCCGTGTATGTAACTCTGTCGCACACTCTTTGGTTATCTTGAGGGTGTGTCATCCACTGTTTGGAAGGAGCACATGCGGATTTGTTTTAATTTTGGTTGCTAGCGACTCTGCTGAATCAGTTGGTTATTGGACAGTGTTTTTTTCTACGTAAACAAAGTCAATATTATCAAGTAAAAAAAACTTGTGTAAAATAGAAATTAGTGGTATCACAGAAAAAGTATATGTTAAAAATATGAAGTCTTTTCCATCAACATAGAAAGTTTGTATGGGCTAACTGAAAGTTTTGCATGACAATCCAAAAATCACTCGTATTGCAACGATAAGACCCAAGAGATGAACTAAACCCGGGCATGGGCAGCCCGGCCCGACGACCTGGCCCGAGCCCGGCCCGAAAAACTCGGGCCGGGCCGGGCCGGGCTTGACATTTGGGCCGGGCTCAGGCTTTGTTTTGCAGCCTGAAAGATAGTTCGGGCCAGGCTCGGGCTTCAATTTTCCCGTATTTCGGGCCGGGCTTGCATGTGCGCGTACTAGAAAATAGCATTCGGACCGGGCTTTCGGGCTTCGGGCTTGACTTCGGGCCGGGCTCGGGCTTGAAAATATGGAGTATTTCGGGCTTCGGGCTAGGCTCGGGCTTGAGAAATGAAGGTCGGGCTTTTACAAGCCCGGCCCGAAACCCGGCCCGGCCCGACATTTGCCCAGGTTTAAGATGAACCCTTAGGGTTCATTCGGTTTGCAGGAAATCAAAACGTAGGAATTAGAAATAGTATAGGAATTTGATAGAATGACACTTGTCATCCTAAGGAATTGATTTGCTTCGTTCCTACGCGTAAATGAGCTTTGAGTGGATGTGTAGTTTTGTCCGAAAACACAAGAAATGAGTAGTATTCCTACGAAATTCCTGTATGCATTTCCTACAAACCGAATGCATATATAGAAATTTTTTCTTTGGAATCCTTGTTTCTATATTTTTCCTACAAAAATCCTTCAAACCGAATAAGGCCTAGACCTTTACCCCCTCATCTCAATTGCTCGACGAGACCGCTCCCCAGCTGTCGAACTATCCATTGCTATCTACTCTCGGTTACAAGATCCACCACCAACGCCACATCCCACCACTGGCATATGCCCATGTGTCCTCTCTAACGTCGTTAAACAGCCCGCCTACTTCCCCCAAATGGTTGTTCTTCCATGACCTTGAACGGCCGAGCGATCCCGGCCTCTACTTCAGCCTCTGCTCGTCCAATGGTAATCATTAAGTACATGTCTGTATATATATTTCGTGAAGGAAAAAATGCAGATATTCATAGCATGCATCCAAATACAGTACCACAAGGACGATCATGCATGGAAGAGCACGACGATTATTACATGAACACACTTAAACAAGCCAGCATTTTCCACGCATGCTAGTACACTAGTACGTTTCAAGCAACAAGTGATGTACGTAAACAGTCCCACCAATCACACACCGCACTAACAGAGTCACCAAGCATGGCAACAAACACACGAGTAGGTACGTGACAGGTCAGGCCGTCAGGCCGGGGCACGGTGTCTAGCACTTGCCATCGTCTCGTTCGTGTGTGTGCCTGACGACGACCTCGTCGACCACCACAGCCTGCTCCTGCACGCTCACGTACTCAGGAGTCAGGAACATCCTCCTCCTCCACCGGGCACCCGGCCGGTTCCTCCCTCCTCATCCGCCTCCGCCGCGCGAGCAGGAAGAGACCCGCCAGCAGCCCAAGGAGGACCAGCCCGGCGATGGGGACCAGCACTATCACGAGGATTTGTCCACTACCCCCCGCCGTTGGTGGCGACGGCGTATAGACAGTGTTGGAGCCGGAAGGATCATAATAATCAGGCGTTGGAACATATGGGACGCCGGTGTACGGCGTCGGCGGCGGGGCTGGGACATCCGGGCCGGGAGACGACGTCCGTGGCGGAAGTGGACCATAATAAGGTGTTGGGGCATCGGGATATGGGGTTGGCGGCAGAGCGGGACCAGTCGATGGTGGGTAAGAAGGTGGTGGTGGCAGATAAGGGGGATACGGCGACGGTGGTGGCGGCGTAGGAGGTGGTGGTGGCAGATAAGTGGGGTACGGTGTAGGAGGTGGTGGTGACTGGTAAGGGGGATTCGGCGATGGCGGCGGCGGCGGCGGCGTAGGGGGTGGTGGTGAGTGCGGACCGTACCTTGAATATGGTGGTGGAGACATTTTTGCTAGCTTGGCGGTGGCTCTGCAGTCTGCATAGCAATGTTTATCTCACTGAGACTACATACTGCGGGCTGAGGGTGGCGGGCTATATATACATACGATCAAGAAGTAGCAAGAGCAGTGCATGCAGTATGCTCAATCCATGCATGATTGTGAGGTGTGAAATCACACGACTGTCCCTGCTTGGTCCAATATCTCCGTTTCCGTGTGTAGTTTGTTGGCAGCACAAGCAACTGTTAATTAGCTTTTTCTTGAGGCAGCATGCACCTGTTAGTTACTACTCGTATTTCACCACTTGGATATGGCTAGCTTCTGTGGCGTAAGTACAAGCAACTCAGAGTGTGGAATCGCGTGTATTCGTGCTTGCTTGGTCTAATGGCATGTGCAGTCTGTGTGGCACAACCGTAGAAGCAACTCGCCGGTCATGAGCTTGCACTTCGAACGCCGGTTAGATAAATTTTTTTGAGGGGTCGCCGGTTAGATATTAGATCGACGATCTGCCACATTAACTAATTTTGTTGGGGCATGCACTTGAGATTTAATTATCATCTTGTTCGACATCATAACAAATACTGTATGTATGCTAACTTCTTTAATCGTCAGGAAGGCAGCAAGCAATAATGGACTCATGCGGCACATATCCTTGAATACAAAGTTGACGTGCATATATATGTAGCTAGTTGATTGGCTGAGCTCCCACCACTCAGTTTCTACCAAATACAAAAGACAGTGGAACATATCTACAAGCTGAAACTAATTCAAAGCTAGACGTACTATGTAACAATGAGGTTGTTTTGTCTGGATATCCAGCTGGATATTTTTTGTATTTGCTACATCATGTGCAATTTTAGGTTTTTAAGGTGTGCTACTTGGCATATAGTGTCAAATTTGTTGACCTGAAATTGCACAATCTTTTTCCCGCAAAAGAAAATAAACAGGTTGCACAATCTGAAATGTGAAATAGCAAATCTGTAACAGTTAAGATGGGACATTTTTTAGTTGCTTTTACAGAGGATAGGATATCTTTCTATCTCAAATTAGTTGACCTGAAGTTGCACAATCTTTTTCCCTCAAAAGAAGTTGCACAGTCTTTTTTCATACAACCGTAGGTTCAATAATGCGAAACACCAAATCTGTAATGGGACATGAAGCAAATGCACAATTTTGAGCTACTTTTACGGAGGATATGATATCCTTCTATCTCAAATTCTCACCTTAGTTGGTTTGTTCAAATGTCCAACTAGCACGCAAGCATACACACGAGCGGCACAACAATAACCAATTGCATCAGAGATGCTTATGCATGACATGCATGCGCTTGATCAACATTCCTCTGGTCATGTTTACAAAGTCGCTGCTTATTTATACTAGCTGGTCTAGTGGATGTACTGGATCAACTTTCCTACTCGGCAGCACATTCGGTCGAACACGTAATCCATTCTCGTTGACAAGAGATTACTAATTCGACAAGTGGATTGCATATCAGGGCCAAATGAAAGAACTAATGGATCAATCAAGTAAATACATGCAGGGAATGCTGCCATATAACTGTGTAAGAGCATGTCAAACAAGAGAGCAAAACTTGAGGACAGTTCAGGTGTTATCTGTTAAGTAGAAGAAGAACTCATCTCACCACCGGATATGAACAAATGGTGCAACAATCTAGCTACTGTGCACACACTGGACTGACTATCAGTGGTAGTTCAGCAAAACTGGACGAGGTTCTCTACAAATTACCTCAGATGGACACAATGATTTAGTCAAAGAAGCTGCTCAACATTCTGAGTACACCCTGACCAACTTCAGCGACTCGAACGGCGTCTGCAGACGCCATTCTCTCTGCTTCTTGCTCAGAGGCCTGCCCTTTCCGGTCTGCTGCCGGTTTATCTTCACATCGGCTATGCCCCAGGTGCACTCACACAGGTCCACGTCGTAGGAAATGAGCCTGAACACGCCGTCGCCTTCCTGGGTCGTGGCTGCATCCTCGCTTGTCATAACGTATCTGACATACATCGACCGTTCTTTGAAGCGTTCAAGGTCGTCCGGGACACGGATGACTCTCTCCACACCGGGGGATGACACCTTCAAAGTGATTAGCGGAAGTATGCCTTAGTGCTAAGCATCACATAGAGATTTTTTTAATTGATGCTATCAGTTTGTGCCAGAGTATCCAGATAAGGCTTTAGCTAGTTCTTGATATGGTTATAGAGGGAGAGTACCTCCAAGGATACGTTCTTTGGTATCCTGCCTGCTGACTCTGCATCATCCAACTTTGCACGGTACGCAATCGTGTATGCTTCAATGTCATCAATAGTCGGAGAACCATACCTAGTAACAGATGCTTAATGAGAAATCTAAGACAAATGACCGAAAATAGAAAGAAGGTTACAAAAAGACAACTTTGACACTAATGATATCAGCAACTAATACATACTATGTTCTATGCTTTCAAATGTAAGTACCATACGTTTTTTGCGAGGGAGATATAATCTTAATCCATGTTTATGTTTTTATTTCCCAAGAATGACAATGGCCTTCTAATGAAAAAGATAATTTACATGAAAATTATGTCATCTACCAGTATCAGCTGTGTGCTTGCCTTCATATTCCCAGAATATTGGAAAATTTAAAGTTACTCACCCTTGAAACAGACGGTTAAAATCTATTAATAATCACTTTATCGATCCACTAATCCCAACCACTCGAGGCTTCAACAAACTCACATAAACAAGACAAATTCTAGAAGTTCAGCATATGCCTGTACTAATATTGATATATACCTAGTGGACATCTTCTCGATGCGAACTCTGATTTCTAAATTTGCAGTTGCCTTGAAAGCATAAATCTTCAAGTCGCCATCGAAAGAAGCTGAAACCTCCTCGGCCAAAGCCAAAGCTTCCTTGCCCCACCATGTACCAGCAAGTGACACTCCACCACCAGCACCTCCATCTCCAACCTCCAATATATCAATGCACATCCGTGGTCAATGGTTAATGGCGTAAGTTGTAGTTTCAATGGAAAAAAGAAACCATACATAAAGGTCTTGTTCATCATCACTCTCAAATTCATCTTCGAAATCATAGTCATCATCATTGTCGCTGTCATCGTCATCCACTATATCTGCAAGGTTTCGGGGACATAATTGTTTTATTGATACCAGTATACAACATATTATTTGGTTAGTCGGCGGATAAAAAATGTTAATACTAATAGTTGAGGAAAATACAAAAATACACTGGAGTGCTTTTTTTGTTCAAAGATTGGACATATCCTACATAGATTCAACTTACATAATGGGAACAACCGCGCAACCCAGGTTTATCACTGCACTCGTCTTTTTAGACGGGTAGGACATCAACTGTGGGTTTTAGGCGAGAGATAAGGGGAGGGCTCTAGCCCCATGCGCCAGATAGAAGAATTGATTTTCTAATTCTTGCTTGATTAACTTTTCATGGAGGGTCCTCTTTATATAGAGGCCAAAAAATCCAATCAAGTAACAAATCATATATCTTATCTCTAATTTGCTTACAGCCCAAACTGAAAAATATCTTCTAGTTGAAATGATAAACTATCCAACCGAGGGATTGGGGATCTTATTCCATAACTGGGAGCTGATCTCACATCAAACATCACTGCACTGCACTCATGAAGTGTATTTCAAGCACCCAATTAAACTATGAAGTTCAATTAATAAATTGGCTACGCAAGTGATGAATGCCATCTGTTCACAACTATTGTTCCACTTGGCCTGAATTAGAGTGACAAGTGCAAATTGCCGAAGATACACACTGCTATACTCCCACGCACATACAATCTACTGCAGAGGCCTGTTCCTGACGGTGCATGTTATAGTACCTTATAACTCGCATTCAGCAGACACTACAAGTATATGAATATTTGGATCCCCAAATGCTTCATAGTACGTACAGTGATGGAAGAAATGGAGCGAAAATGCAGAATTCCTCCATCCTTCCACAGGCAACAGTAGACTGAAGTTGAACCCAAAGCTCACAAGGAAAAGAAAGCAATGAAACTTCACCAGAATACAGAAAACCGTTACCGTCATCGCCGGCGTCCTCCTCGCCGACCTCCTCCTCCTCGACATCAACATCCTCGACCTCACCCCCTATCACATCAGGAACATCATCTTTCTCTTCCTCTCCATCAGGCGGCTCCACACTGTACCCCTTCCTCTTCTTCTTGGCAAAGGGCACCACCGCTGAGGCATTTCTACAAACAGCTAGCGCGCACGAGCATCCAGGAAACGCGCTGCTGCCGGCGGCAGCCCAAGAACCAAGCAGGAGAGGAAATCTCGGCGGTTTGATGCCTCTCCAGGAAGGCGAGCACCCCTGAATCACTCTCCCAGAGACCAAATCCATCTTTTAACCCAGCACGCACGCACAAGGATCAAAACAGAGCGAGAGCGGCAGAGCACCACTGAAGCGAAGTGGTGGTTGCTTATCAGAGTTATCGGTTGGTTAAAGGTATGCCGTCCCAAAAACGCCTCCCGAGAAATACGCCTTCGAACGGGGAAAACATGGAATCACACCACCCCGCTTCCTTTAGAAAACACAACCTAGGAGTTACTAGTAAGTGTGCACGTGCAACGCACGTCTTGACAAATATTAGAACCCTATATGAGAATTCACATGCATAGATTATGAGCTTACGGCGGTGAGAAACCTAATTTGGGAATCAAATATACCAATACACACTTTTAGCTTTGACTTACAATAACTGATTCAATATGAAGTTAAAAACTGGAGTTTGAAATATGAACGGCCAAGAAATGTCATATACCGGATAGCTTAAAAAAACATCTGCGGTGTTAGAAAGACGTAAGTGGATTTAAAAAATTCAATTAGATTTACCGGCACTCAAAGACAGAAAGTAGCTTTTCTAAAAAAGAAATAACTGAAATTTGCAAGAAGGTGAATAATATGATAGATGGTTTCGATTTGTCTGAAGAAGAAAAATATATGGAGTATGAAACGTTAACTATCACAACGTCAGTAGCAAACATTGATATGAAATAGATGTATAGTGCCCAAGATGGATATATTATCAATTGGTCCAAGTTCTCCATTGGCACTGCATGTATATATTTTTTCTCTCATTGCAATGGAAAAATAGAAGAATTTATGTAAGCGGACTTGCCAATGTTCAGAATACATATGGTTCTAAACTTCTGCAGATTAGCATAAAGAGCAATCAATCGTAGTTTGTTAAACTGAAGAATATCAACTGACACTAATAACTGAATTCTGAAAGAGCATTTTACTTCTACACGCGAGAACAAGTATTAGATGAATTTGATGTTACCTCAGCAGTGAGCTACACATTAGTGTATTTCTTGCCAATAACAGAGGTCCAACACTGAATGACGCGGTTGTGTATTTCTTACCAAAAGTTCCTTTAAAAAACCTGCAAGTAAATGCCACTCAAAATTAATTAGATGATCATTACAAAATATTGCAGGATTTCACATCAACTCACTGTAGTACGAAATACATGCTGGCTAGACAAGAAATATTAGGGCATTTACTAACGAAGTATATAGAACAAAAGATGGCTGAAGAAAACAGTAAAAGGATAGAACAGTACTCAGTACACCTACTGTACTTAGTAGACATACAATGAAAAACACAAAGAAAGAGTCGTGAGTAAAGGAGCAACTGAACATGCGAATAATAGAGGAGTTACTGCAGGCGGGTGTACAGGTGTTCGGCATGGAGAAGGGGAAGAGAGGAAGAAGGATTCAGGGGCTGGCGGGACTCACCTGCGACGTCGTTGCAGTCACAATCACCGCCGTCACGTCGCCTACTTGTTCTCCTCCCTATTTAGTTTGTGTGGGGAGGACTTACACTGTTTATCCTGTGATGCCGGTGTGAGTTGCGACAGTAACGGGTGGCCACGAACCGACAGAGCTTGGGGTCGTACGCGGAGACGCCATCGCCGTGGTAGCGGACGAAGTGGAGAGCCAGCAGCGCTTTCTCTACCTTTGGGTCCGGTCGAGTAGCGGAGCCGCAGGCGGGCCTGATGCCGAACATGGCATGGATCTCATCGGGCGACTTCCTGTCCACCATGGCGGCGACGGTGTTGCACGCGTGGTCAAGCAGGCCCCCATTGCCGAGATCCTTGGAGGTCAAGGAGCATGGCGTGGTCCAGGCCGGGCCGGCGGCGGCCCATCCCGGGTCGGCGTGGGTATGCCTGGAGCAGTGGAGGATCAGGGAGAGGGTAGTAGAGTCGACACAGAGGTGGACACGGGGGTAGCGCTAGCCGCTGCTTCCGCCGGCTGGGGCATAGGTGTTGTACTCATACCTGATGATCATGTGCTCTAATTGGACGCCGCACTGGCTCGTCTCCGCCTCGGGCACCACCAGGTCCACGATCCAGCCATTGCAGCACCACCATCTTCTTCCCATCTTCTTCCAGTTCCTCTTCTTCGGGATCGCCCGCCATCTCCTCCCCCGCTCTCATCTTCTCCGGTGATTTATTCTTGCTTTTCTCCTGGTTATGTTCGTGTTGGATCGTAGAGGTTCCCCATGGCTCCTTAACCTCTCTGCTGATCCGATGAAGCGCGCGGCGCGGGTTAGTGATCCATCCATGATAGATTGTTGTGGCCATCCCTCTTTCCACCATCCCTTTTCCTTCCTCGTTCTGGTCACCTCTCCACACCTCATCACCTGAGCACCTCCCGCGGCGGCGAGTTCGCTGTCCAGGAACGACACCGTGCTGTGCGGCGAGGGAGGATTCGTTATCTTGGGGGCGTCTGACGCGGTGATGACAGGGAATCGTCGTGATTGAGGGTGAAGGGATCCGTTTGCGATCAGTTCCCTGTTTCTACGTGCCTTCCGTAAATGTAGGGGCTGCGGGCGTGGAGTTTCACATTCCTCCGCGGTGGAGTACGGTCAGTCGTTGCAAATTGCAAAGTGCACACCATGAAACAGATTAGGTTAAGGCTAACCGTTAGATTAAGTTTATCGGGTCTAATCGTGCGGTAGTAATGAATCTGTGTATGTTTGTGGGGTGCACGTAAGAAAGTTCTTGTTTGATTGTTTATTAGTAGCAGAGACAGAGATAGAGAAGAGATAGAGATACTGAAAACAAAGACGAACGCAATCTAGTGCGCATCGGGATCTCCTCTCTCTCTCTGTGTCTCTTTCCCAAATGCCGCGGGCCCACCCCCGCCGCCGCCGCCTCCTCCCCGTCGCCGCGGCGGCGGCCGCCCTCGCGCTCCTCGCTCTGCTCGTCCTCCTGCCCACCGCGCCGCCGGGGGGACCCGCGGCCCCCGCCTCCCTCCTCCGCGCGGCCATCGCCGCGCACCCGTCCCCCGCCTCCTACGCGCACCCGTGCGCCGACCACCTCTCCCTCTCGCTCCACCGCCTCCGCGCCGCGCTCCCCGCGCTCGAGTCCGGCGACCTGCCGGCCGCGCTCCACCTCGCCTCCGCCTCGCTCCAGTGCCAGTACGACTGCTCCCACCTCCTGTCCCTCCCCGCCTTCCCCTCCCACTCGCTCACCTCCCGCTTCCTCAACTCCCTCACCCCGCAGACGCTAACCGCATACCCCAAACCCGCCTCCTTCTACTCCACGGTCGCAGCATTTCCGGCGAGGGTCCGTCCGGCCGCCACCGTCTGCAAGTCCAATCCGGCGTGCGACTTCTCCAACGTGCAAGACGCCGTCAATGCCGCGCCGAATTACACTGCCGGGCACTTCCTCATCACCGTCTCTGCAGGTATATACAAGGAAAACGTCGTAGTTCCGTTCGAGAAGACCAACGTTTTGCTGGTGGGCGAGGGAATGGGGGCTACCGTGATCACTGCCTCACGGAGCGTGGGGATCGAAGGGCTCGGCACTTATGACACCGCGACGGTGGCTGTCGTCGGCGATGGCTTCCGGGCGAGGGATATCACATTTGAGAACACTGCTGGGGCAGGAGCTCACCAGGCGGTTGCGTTCCGGTCAGACAGCGACCGGTCGGTGCTGGAGAATGTGGAGTTCCGAGGGCATCAGGACACCTTGTATGCTCGCACAATGCGGCAATTGTATCGCCGATGCCATATTACTGGAACTGTGGATTTTGTATTTGGGAATGCCGCAGCTATGTTTGAGGAATGCGTGATTGAGACGGTGCCGCGGGCAGAGGGTTCCGGGAAGAGCGCACGCAATGTGGTGGCAGCAAATGGGAGGATTGATCCAGGGCAGACCACAGGGTTTGTGTTTCAAAATTGCACAGTGGATGGTAGCAAAGATTTCGTTGTGTTGTTCCAGGCAAAGCCGCAATCGTACCGGCTCTACTTGGGGCGTCCATGGAAGGAGTATGCAAGGACACTATTTGTCAGCTGTTATTTAGGCAAGGTTGTCAGGCCGGAGGGTTGGTTTGCTTGGCGAGGGGATTTTGCACTCAAGACACTGTATTATGGGGAGTTTGATAGTCGAGGCCCTGGTGCAAATCAGACATCAAGGGTCGGGTGGAGCAGTCGGACATCAGAACAGCATGTCACATTCTACTCAGTAGAGAACTTTATTCAAGGACATGAATGGATTGCGTACTAAATATAGTATAGAGTCAATGTTCAGATTAGCGATTCTTGGTGGAGCTTCAACAGCTAAATGCTAAATATCCAACCCGTGATGTCCCTGAATTGCAAGCAAGTCACGCTCCCAGGATCTGGAGTCAAGTAACTAACTGTATTGACTTGGTACATAACCCGAAGTGATCTGTTTTCTGCTGTTCACAGGTTTTCCTTCAGTTTTTGCTTTGTATATTCAGCTACATTTTTGTAAATACATTATGTGTTTTCTGGAGTGACTACTGAAATTTGGTTTTGCTGCAGAATATCAAGGAACTTGTCTATTGTAGTTGTGTGGTATTCAGCATATTGTACATATGAAAAGCACATCATGGTATGATGGTAGATTTGCAATTATGCATTCCAATCCAACCTGTTTATGTGTGATGGAAGCATCTTTCTGCCATCTTTTATTTTTCCTGTCCTTATTTATTTGTTAGTTGAAGGGGAGCCTTGGCGCAGTGCTAAAGTTGCTGCCTTGTGACCATGAGGTCACGGGTTCAAGCCCTGGAAACAGCTCTTACAGAAATGTAGGGAAAGGCTGCGTACAATAGACCCGAAGTGGTCGGACCCTTCCCCGCACCCTGCGCAAGCGGGAGCTACATGCACCGGGCTGCCCTTTTTTATTTATTTGTTAGTTCATGTTTGTTCAGTTGGTTACTAATTTGTTGAATTTATATCAGACATCTCTCATGTTCCAAGCTAACACACATAACCTTAGCACTTTTACAATAGTTTGCAAGCAAAAGTGACAAAGGGAGATTTACATGTGACAAGGATAACTGATCTGCTATATACAATATTCACTTGAGCTATGAACAAGGTGAAACCTTTTCTAATATAAGCCAGTATTTTTTTTTACAGCCAACTCGACTTGGTATTGACCTGCAAAATGTTACATCCTCATCATTGTCATAAACAGCTCATATGGTACACCTATTGCAACTGCAATCTACCTCCCTCCAGCAGTTAATGCACGCATTGCAAATTAAAATGAGCTCTAGTGACTGCTATGCAAGATGAAAAGAAAGAACCACACTTCATAATCACTCCACAATATATAGGGCCCATTTGTGCTTTTTGTGGAGATTAAGATGGCTTAATGTTCTAGCTGCTTCTTTATGTTTTGTCGAGAGCTTGATCTGTAGGCTACTATTGAAGAATTGACTATGATATTTTCACGCGGCATCATTGCATTTTTTTGGAGATCTGTTCCGAAATCTGAAGCTGTTAGAAAACAAATTTGTTCAAGTGTTATCAACATAATGTAGCGGTTGTCTGGATGATACATTTTTCTCGTTACATTTTTCCAAGCATGCCGGTGTATCTTATTTCCTGCAGGATGATAACATGTTCCTGTCATTATCACTCTGACACACTACAATACACGATGATACACATCTGTTTGTGATTATGTCTCCTGCAAATTAAACAAACAAGTTATTCCAGTTAATTTCTTGGGACTCGCCTAAAAATATATTCCTTGGGACTCCCAAGAAAAGGAACATTTCTTAATCTCCAATGTCTCTGATGAAACGTATAGTTACTTGAGATCATAGATACTACACAGCTACAATATCAACCTGAATACTACAGATTGTTCCATGAGATTATTTTGGAAGATAACAAGTGACTACAGTACATCATTACAACAGAAATTGCCCTACAAGACAAAAATTGCAGTAGATGCGGACTACAATTTACTAAAAAGACTGTCGAGGTCTTGCATTGCAGGATCGACCATATCAAGGCCAGCATCAAGATGCGCGAGCACAGTTTCATCGGCGAGCAGCTCTGGCGTGAAGAGCGTCTTCCAGCCGGTGCACCATGCGGTGGCCTCCCCCAACGAGGGCTTCGCGGCTTGCAGCCAGTGTCGCAGCGCGCCTTCCCATTTGTCAAAGAACTGTTCGGCTTCTAGGATCGACACCACGTCTTGAGCGCGCAGGAGAGGTGCCCACAACATCACCATCCGGAACGAAGGGTCGGTTTGCTTCGGCGGCGTGATCTTCATCTCCCGTACTAACCATGTTAGCATTGGCAGGATGTGACGCTTGCTGAAGGTGTCCCACTGCACCGGGCTAAGGTATTCCTTCCATGGCGACACGACCTCGTAGTCGCCGTTCCTGATCTTGCTCTCCACGGTACCGTAGAGGCTCTCTGGTAAGTGGCCGATGAGGGGAATGAACGGGCGTAGCCAGTCGTGACAGTCCGGATCCCATGATGGCTTCCACTCTCGCACGTCGACGACCATTCTCGGCGTGATCACCTGCTCGATTATGTAGCGCGCGGCGGAAGAAGGCAGCCTGGCTTTCCACGTCCCCAGCATGCGCTTCCCATGGAGCCCCTTCTTGGACTCGGCCACGGCCTTGAGCGCATCCGTCGTCTCCACGCTGTCGTCCCCTTGAAGCCTCATGTCATGCAGGAGCGCGAGGATGGTCTCGCAGCACTCCGTTTCGAGCCGCATAGCACGTGCAATATTCTCCCACTCACGGCACTCCTCCTCCACGGGCGGCTCCGGCGGCACGTGGAGACCATTGTCGTATGGTTTCTCACGGTAGCCGAGGCCGGCCTTTGGACGCCGCCGCACCCGCACGACGGCTTGTATAGGCACGACGATCCCTTGCCCCTGCGCGCCGAGACCCGAGCCTTCCTGGTAATTCCATCGTCGCATCATGTGCGCCACCGCCCGGCTGGGGAGGAACACGAAGCTGCCGGACATATCTGATGGATTGGGCGGCTGGTTCTCGCCGGAGTCGTTCCCGTCGAGCAGCGTAGAGAAGTCGATGTTGGACTCTAGGATCGCCATGCAGACTGAGCAGCAAAAGGGGAAAGAAACGCCTGCCGGGAAACCAGGTGCGAGATATGATGTTTGGCCATACGCCGATGCGCGTCAATATATAGAGAGAGAATTTCTTATTTAACACTGTCTTAAAATTGGATGCCCTATTTAACACTGAAAAAATATTTCTTCCCTCTATGACATCAACTCTAAATTTTGTTCCCAATATAACACTTATGTACAATATTTGAGCTAACAGTGTTAAGTGATGTATGAAATGACAATTTTGCCCTCAAACATCTAGCCAATCTGCCCCTATATTTCCGTGTCATATTTAAAGGTGGGAACATGAGTCGATGTGGCCAAAAGGTTGTGCTAAAACTAATTTTCCTAAACTTACCTGATAGGCTGATAGGCCAGGCTCTGGTGGTACGTGGGCACGACGACGAGAAGTGTTCTGTAATCCGTATGCAAGTTGGAGTTAGCAGACTGTGCCGCACCTGCTGGAGCCAGTGGCAGCACGTCGTGTTTGCGTTCGTTTCACCGAAAGAGCGGAGTTGATCGATCCAGCAAGCTAGCTTTTCACATTTACGTGCGTCACATACGGCTAGACGTGCATGCACTATTCCGCAACAAAATCAATGAAGCAACTAGCTTTTGCACGTACATGTGCAGCCCTTCGATGATTTCTTTTAGCGTTCTAAAACTAGCAGAGGCATCGGGGAAAATAGAATGAAAATTTTGGTGATATACTAGTGCCAAGGGTAGTATTGTCATTTCAAGCACCATTTAACACTGTTAGCTCAAAAAATTGACGAAAGTGTTATATTGGGAATGAAATTTAGAGTCGATGATAGATAGGGAAGAAATATTTTGGCAGTGTTAAATAGAGAATTCAACTTTAAGATAGTGTTAAATAAGGAATTCTTTCATATATAGAGCCCTGTTGCAACCGAAATTTCGAGTCGGACCCGTCGACGAGACTAGTCCTGGACTCCAGGTCTGAGCCGATTTCCTTTTTTCTTTTCCTTTCTGTTCCTTGAAAGCTGTCCGAGCAGAACTCTGACTAGTGAAACCGATTCTCTATGGCCTCCCGTCGTGGGGAAACTAATTTCCTTGCTTGGGCGCCAGAGAAGTCAGGTACTTTTTCAGTACGCAGTGCATATAGGCTTGCTTCGGATGAAGTGCACAGCAGTTTTGTTGCAACTTAGTACACATTCTGATGGAGCTCGTGAGGGCTGGAAGTCCACACTGGCACCACCAAAAGTCCTTAACTTCGCTTGAAGGCTTGCAAATGACTCACTTGCGACATGGAAAAACAAACAGAAACGCAAACTTGAGATTACTGCTATTTGTCCAATCCGCAGCTGTGAAGATGAGGACTCTTTTCATACTTTCTGTACCTTCTCTTTTGATAAAGGATGTTTTTATTATCTTAAAATGTAGCATCAAGCGATACAAAGCATTTAGAATATCACCCGGCCTTTGCATAATTAGGATGCACACAACCAAACATCAAAAATCTAACAAGAAAAAATGACAATTCGATAACAGTAGAGTCCTATAGACCGACACTATACCTATGTCGAAACGGTTGGTGGACCGATGCGGAGATTATGTTGTCACCCATGTTGGATAAAAAACTCCATAGCCACCTGCTCCAATCGCGTAGACACCGCCTTGAATAGCGGTTGGTACTCCACACGTTGTAGCATAAACCACATAAGAAGCGAGTGCGTACAATGGAAAATAACCTGCAGAGAAGAATCATTTTTGTCATTAAATACCAAATCGTTTCTTACATAGCCAAAGCGACCATAGTAAGGCGTACGCTCCCACCCTTGTTAGCGTTTTGAACCTATTTGAAATACCGTCGAACCAATGACCAAAAATATTAGCAACACTTGTGGGCGGATATAAATTTGACGCTATTTGGATGACTGATCACGTAGAACGCGCAAACTTGCATTGAAAAAAGAGGCGTTTGATTGTCTCGTTATGAGTACAAAAACAATATTTCTTACTTCCTGGTCAGTTGCATCGTGCAAGGTTGTCTTTGGTTAGCACAACACCTCTACGAAGATACCACATGAATATTTTAACTTTTAGTGGAATCTTTGCCTTCCAGATTTTCTTGTTATTGCTCTCCGGTATCTCAGAATGCGTGAGCGCACGATAAATAGAGTCTACCGTGAAAGACCCCG